ACCCACATTTACAAACCAAACAATCAGAATATGACACAAATTGATGTAGAATACATTGGCAGTTGCTTGTTAAAGGGGCTATTTGGAAGTGGGTGGTGGTGCGCTTGACAAGAGCTTCGTCCATAGTTGCGTTTAAAGTCCAAGAGGTTATAATACGAACTCTGAGCAATGCTACATCTTTAGGACAGATTGGAGTCTACAGGAGTTGGAAAGTGACGAGGCAAGGCCAGGGCTAGGTGGTTAGCGTGCTAACTTCAGGTTGAGACAGCTCTTGGTGAGTAAAGGAACGAAGTTTGGTGCTGTTACGACCCGGCCTCGGGAAACCCTGGCGCAACATGAATACTGAGAGACTCCCCTCTTCCCAGCTCCCAGGAACCACCAGCCACAAGGAATTACAGCCCATTAGGGTTTTTATTCAAGATCTCTTTATCTTCAGGGTGGGCTAACAGCAAATAACAAACAGAAGTAACTAAAACTAAGGAACCTAAACTTACCTACTCAAACAATAGAGGGAAGAAAAAAAAGCAAGCCACTAACCTAACTCTAACCTAACAAAAACAGGAGAAAATTGGGTTAAACAAAATTGCTACCCACCCCTACGGCACCTGGGCTGACATTTCACATAAGCAAACTATATACAATATCAGAACATGTTGTTCTGGCAGGTTGGTTGGAAGTGGAGAGAGATGAGCCCTGCAGAAGCTGGAAGAAGCTGGCCTTAAAACTGCAAGCCTGGAGGCTGGCACCAAATCAGCTCCCTGGAACAACCTACAAACTCACACAGTCAATCATTCAATCAGCCCTGCACACCTAGCATAAGGCACTATTTGTAAGTTTTGCTATTGCTAAATAGCCAGCATTAGCATAAACAGCTGTTTACTTACCAGTCTAGAAGAAACATTCTGAATTTAGCACTGTTATGACCCAGAGGTCATTTGGAGCACATTTCTGATGTGTAATTTGTATGTGCTTTAATGTTGTGCTTGTGTTGTGGATATCTCTTTCTAGGGTTCCTGCTGAGGTGTGTGTGTGTGTGTGTGTGTTGGGATGTAGGTGTGCAGGGGCTGATTGAATGATTGACTGTGTGAGTTTGTAGGTTGTTCCAGGGAGCTGATTGGTGCCAGCCTCCAGGCTTGCAGTTTTAAGGCCAGCTTCTTCCAGCTTCTGCAGGGGCTCATCTCTCTCCACTTCCAACCAACCTGCCAGAACAACATGTTCTGATATTGTATATAGTTTGCTTATGTGAAATGTCAGCCCAGGTGCCGTAGGGGTGGGTAGCAATTTTGTTTAACCCAATTTTCTCCTGTTTTTGTTAGGTTAGGAGTTAGGTTAGTGGCTTGCTTTTTTTCTTCCTCTATTGTTTGAGTAGGTAAGTTTAGGTTCCTTAGTTTTAGTTACTTCTGTTTGTTATTTTGCTGTTAGCCCACCCTGAAGATAAAGAGATCTTGAATAAAAACCCTAATGGGCTGTAATTCCTTGTGGCTGGTGGTTCCTGGGAGCTGGGAAGAGGGGAGTCTCTCAGTATTCATGTTGCGCCAGGGTTTCCCCGAGGCCGGGTCGTAACAGCACCAAACTTCGTTCCTTTACTCACCAAGAGCTGTCTCAACCTGAAGTTAGCACGCTAACCACCTAGCCCTGGCCTTGCCTCGTCACTTTCCAACTCACTGTAGACTCCAATCTGTCCTAAAGATGTAGCATTGCTCAGAGTTCGTATTATAACCTCTTGGACTTTAAACGCAACTATGGACGAAGCTCTTGTCAAGCGACACCACCACCCACTTCCAAATAGCCCCTTTAACAAGCAACTGCCAATGTATTCTACATCAATTTGTGTCATATTCTGATTGTTTGGTTTGTAAATGTGGGTCACAGCAGCAGTCACATTGCGAGGATTTGGTACTAAATTTCTAAAAATGTCAGAATTTTGATGCAGGTTTATGTTCACCAAACGTCAATGGACTTGTCTCACAGTGTGATCTCGATCCACTGTTTTTCTTAAATACTTCCCACAGAACTGTCAACTTTTGTGTGGGATGGCCCAGAATCACACAGTGTAATAGAGGGGCCTTCAGATCAGTTGCACAGTTTTGTGTACCCCCTGTTAACATGACAACAGTTTGTGACAGAAAGTGTCTCGCACAGTGCAGCAGTTGTGAGATTTTCAACATCTTGCAGTCTGCACAAGCTTTAAGACAGGGGAAGATGACACAGAGAGAGGCTCTTGTGTTGAAAGAGTGACAACAAGAAGACTGGTAGAGAAAGATACCAGCATTAATACTGTATGTATATATATTTTTTTTTTTAAAAAGGGAGAAAGAACAAGAAAGAAAGTCAGCGGAAGAAGAACAGAGTAAAACCAGTGTTAGCCTCATTTGCAGATGGCTTTTCCAAGAGGGGGTTTCCTCTGCTTCCCCTCTGGCAGCTTCCCCTCTCTCAGCTCCAACCTACCTCACGACTCCCCGCTCTGTGACAACGACTCCCCCAACACACATTCTGTCACTTTCACAAATGCATACCAACACATACAAACACATGCACATGCACACACACAAACACACACACACATATATATATCTACAGTACAGAACACCAACTTTTCTTGGAGCACCTACACACTGGAATATACAGACCATGTTTCATAGTGCTACAGTGTGAGATAAATAACTCTCTCTCTGTGTTTGTGCCTGATTCTGTCCTTTGTTTTTTTTTTACATTTCTGACACACACATCTTTATGTTGCTTTTACTGTTCATAATTTTTAGACTGATATAAATCTTTATAGGCAAATTTACTTAAATTATAGTTCGTTTTGTCTTTTGTCAGAATGCCAACCAGAGGTCATGGTTTACCCATCTTATTTACTTCCACCTATATCACTGCTCACATACACACTGACAGGCTTTAGTGGGAAGCTGAGGACTCGCGCTGATAAGTATTCACAAACAGCAGGAGCACAGAGTGAGGGTGCAGTGGGCCAAATTACACAGACGAGATCACCTCCAACAAGGACAAATTTTCTCAGGACATCTGCTTGACTATGTGGGTGAAGTTTGACTGTATGTGCATACACATGTCTCCTTAAAAGTGTGTGTGAACATGGCAGCATTACAGCTATTGCATAACTGGAAACTATTTCTTCAGCCTCTTGGATGAATTAGGTGGCTTCAAGGGAAATAACACCTTCCCATTAAAACTTGTCTGTCACATCCATATCAGTTTATTTCAAGCTCTGTATGTTTGGATTTTAAAACCACAAACATTAATGCACACTAATTTACATGTGGCACTTCTTCCATAAAAATCTGGACCGAGTGTAAATCAGTATTCAAAACATCTGGGTTGCCCTGCTTCAGTGTCTGAAGTTCACCCTGAACGTGGTGTATTTCCCACCCTACTGCAGATTCCCTTTAGTATCATAAGGAAAGTGACAGCAGCTTGAGGGAACAAAGCAATAAGTAAAAATTAACATAAATTCACATGGTAATGTATTCAGCATTGGGCAATGACTTTCCATATAACAGAGGGACATGTATTTGAAAAAAGATTGTGTTTTGAGAAGCAAAGCAGAGAGAATTGCAAAGGCGTGCACAGACACGAGTATAATGAACAAATATTAGGCGTGATATTTGGGATTCAAAATGAAGATAAACTATTCCAATCTCCTGGGTCCAATTGTGTATCAACACGCACACACACATACATATATACACACACACACACACACACACACACACACTGCACCCTGAATTCATTACTGAAGTCTCATAGAGACATTCAATACGAACACAAAGGGATTCTTCAACTAACAAGTGGCCCACAAGTTAATCCAAAATGTCTGTTTTATCAACAATGGCCGCCGATGATAATATTGGCACCTGAGACATGGTTGAAAAGAACCGCGATAATTTGGTTTCACAATATGCAGAGACGTGCCAGGTTGTCCTCCCCACTGTATTCAGCCCAACTATTGAGCATGATGAGAAATGTAGCCACAGTATTGTGCTGCTCTGTAATTAAATGGAGACGTGGGGTCAAAACTCCCAAAAGGTTCACTGACATAAGATGAAAAGTAAATTGGTTCTCCTCGTGAAAGTGACTTTATAGAGACAATTACATAAGCCCTACTTATAACTATTATTAAAATAGAAAAATTATTTATCTTGGAAGCACCATAATAAGATGAGAACTAAAGTGCAATCTCTCACGGGCCGCTCTGCCTCGCCTTCTCTGATTCTTCAGTGGAGATAATTGCTCAGCTGGGTAATTGAAGGTACAGAACACAAACACCCACTGCATGAAAAGTGGAGGTTACATTACCTTTCCAAAGCTCCCTTTCCCAATGGCCCGCAATATCTGGAAGTGGTCAAAGTTCACTGTGAAGAGAAAGAAAGAAAGAGAGAGAGAGAGAGAGAGAGAGAGAGAGAGAGAGAGAGAGAGAGAGAGTGAGAGAAAGACCCCATTAGCATCATTTCTGCTAGATTCCGCTCCAACACATTTGATTTAAATTGAACCAATGACTGTGAGGTTCAAGTGCTGACTTTGAACATTAATTTGAGGGTTGTTCACATCTACATCAGATTGAGCAGTAGAGCTAATGCAACCCTCTGTTTAGTCCCCCGCTTTAATGCAAAGTAATTGAAAAAGTTAACATATTTCATAGTTAGGTGCAAATCCTTTGCAACTGGCTGAAGTCTGTGAGTTACAATCAGCAGCAGACTATTCCCTGCTGACGCTCTGCCAGGACTGCACTTCACAACCATATTCACTTCTTGCTTGCTTTGCTTTTGATTTTAGTCTGTTCCTCAGCAACGCACGCTCAGCTGGATTGAGGTCAGGTGACTGACTTGGCCTGTCAAGAACAGTCTGTTTGGCCTCAAAAAAAGCCCTCAGTCGACTTGTCTGTAGGAATAAAATCATAGCCCTTCTGATTTCTACTGCTATAATTGGAGATCATTTTGTGTGTGTGTGTGTGTGTGTGTGTGTGTGCGTGTGTGCGCAACCGCTCCATCTAAAAAAGCAGCAGGCAGCATGGAATTGGACCTATTTCTTAATTAGGCCTTTCAAATGACACCAAATTTGCCCGTTTCAGATGTTTCTGTCTTATTTTATCCTGGCACATGTACTGTGTGATGTACGGTAATACTGTGAAGAGGCTGTGGCTTCAGTACAATCTGCTGAATCCAAGGCGCTTTACTGTAGGTCTCCTGTCTTTTAAAATATACACTGGTTGTCACATCTCATCCAACTATCTTGACTTTAGCTTAGCGCTGTGACACTGACCAGGTCACTGGAGCTTTCAACTATGAACTATCTGACTTTTTAGCTGAGCGCAGTGAAAAAGATCACCAGGGACGGAGATGGTGGTACGATGGCTCATTCAAGGTTTCAAATCCTGATTTCAATCTTTGAAAACTCAGTCTGTGCAATCATAGCCAAATCCTTCCTGACTAAACTGATCAGAGAGAGCAGGTGGATCCTCTGGGATGAGATCTTCAGAGTCCTCCTCTTTTATGTCAAATGTGTGGAAAGAACAGAGGGACCTCATGTATTCAGAGCTCCTGTGAGCACTCCTGCTTGGTGGAAACCTTCAGCAAACACTCCCAGTCGTCAAAAGGGCAGGGCTTGCAACACTCTGAGCGTGAACATGAAGACAGATGAGGCTGAAAAGCACTATGTCCTACTACCTCCTTGATTTTTATGGGAAGGTAAAATTAAACACAGGGAAAGTGAAGTTCATCTTCACATACCTTCAGAAAACAGATGAAGGATCTCAATACTCAATACTCTCAATACTCCCGTTCCCTTCACCTGGAAGTAGTGTCAGAGAGAACCTTCTCAAAGGTTCTATATTCTTGTATTCTTATGTGCTCCTCTGAACAAATATATCAAAGCCATCAATGACATGTGTTTGGCTGAGTCCCCTGGAAAAGAGAAAGTCTACATTTCAGTTTTTTCAATGCTAGAGACAATTACAAAGAGGCACTGCCTGTTCATATTCCTATACATTGACACCCTCTGGAAGTCCTACCCATGAAATTTTATTTAAAACATGAGCTGCATCATGCTGCAAGCAGGTCCTGACCGGACTTTAGCATGGTTGTGGTAGAAATGATATACAAGGGCATTGAGGGTGAGATTGCTGTAGGCACAAACAAGGGGTCAAAGGGTCTTTCTACCAAGTATTCCTCACCATGTCAAAAATGATGAGCTTCCCATCACCTTTGTCAGGTGGCAGCTCCCTGTCAGACTGGGTTTCTCAGTTACTAACAGCTAAGGTCATGGTCAAGAAAATGTGTCTGCTCACAGCCAGCTCTACACAGCCTTCTCCAGGAGAAACAGAGCCACTAACATCAAGGTTTTTATTGAGGAAAATGAGGAAGGAATAGCACACAATATTGTGTATATGGAGCTACTGTTTCTGTTTAAATGGCTGTAATTTGGCAAACAATATCATATCAATTGTCAAGATTTGTATTCCTTTTTGTTTCTTTCTAACTTCTATAATGACATGTTTCACTCCATTCTTGCCCCTAGTTGTCCTAAATAACAAGACGGAGAGTCTCTGGCCTTGCTCAGTGGGAATTTACCAATGCTGACATTAGCATGCTAACATGCTCACAATGACAATAATAACATGCTGATGTAAATCTATGTTCATCACGTTCCCCATATTGGTTTAGTATGTTTAGCATGCAAAGTACAGCTGAAGTTGACACGTTTTTGGGGTTTTTGAACATAAACAAATCCGGACAAAGTAAAATTTTGAGCTAATGGTACCAGAGGAAAAGTCAGTGGATCACCAAAGTCATTAGGATTCCTCCTCTCACTCAGATAGCAAGATACTTCTGGCCTATAATTGGGCCACATGCTTGTGTTTCTTCTGGTCCAGTATACACCGGTTCCACAGCCCAAGTCTGGCCCATATACAGCATGATTGTCAGATGCTACTTGTACATCTGGACCAATTTCGGTGCACACACAGAAAAGCAACTCATTTTGCTATCAGGACCTTGCTCCATGGCAATGAACGGTACAGTGCCCACCCAATCGAGATTTGAACAATCTCAAGCCAAGAGTCAAACTGAAAGTCAGCACTTGTACCTAATACTCACTGTTTCATTTGAAATCCAATGTACTGTACAGAGACAAAACAATGAAAAAATATATTGCTTTCCTAATATTTAGTGACTGTACTGTATTTTATGATTGTTGCACTCAAGGTGGAGCTTTTGGAATCAATAATATAAAGGATATTTTCCATTAGATTGAAAGCCAGCTTATCTGATCACTGTGAGAGAGAGAGAGAGAGCGAGAGAGAGAGAGAGAGAGAGAGAGAGAGAGAGAGAGAGAGAGTAAGAGAGAGAGAGGAAAATTGCTATTTTAGACAAGGAAAAGTCTGTAAAATTGAAATATATATTCTGAATCGGAGCACAATAGAAACAACATGAAGCATGTATTTTTACAAGAGCTAAACAGTGAGCTTCAACATGTATAAACAAGGGTATTAAAATAGTATAATAAAAATAATTTTATTGTTTTTTTGTGTTGTGTGGTTTGGTTTCCCATAACATCAACTCTGTTGAACTAATGGCATTCATGAAGTGAAGTTATATTATTAAAACTTACAGTCTGGCTTATCATAACATCAGAACTTTATAAAAATGAAGCGTAACATTCAGTGCACAGAAAATGATTAAAAATAGTTTGAGCTATGTCACTGTAAATTGGACACTTTTAAGAAAGCCACTAAAATTGTTATCAAGATCAGCTGTTGCATGCTTAAATTTGTGAAAATTAACAAGAAGAAATAAAAAAAGGCCCATAATCTACAAATGAAAATGTTTATATGGTGATTAGGCAAAGGCAGAGGAGTCTTATTTCAGTAAACCACCCAGCTCACAGCACTGCAATCATTCATCTTATTTTATGTTGTTGTATCAATATGTGTAATGGCACAGTTAGATGTTTTGGCTCATTGCCTTCTTCAGTAGATGTGTGTTTTGCTGATTAATAGAATTGTCCTGGTGGTTGGATGGGAGGCGTACTGAACAGTTTGATGGGCTGTAAAAAAGGAATTACTCTCAGTGAGCAAAAGAAGAAATCCCTGTATGATGTAAAGCAACAGAAGAGCCCTGCTATAAACACTTACAGATTCAGCAACAAATTGAGGAAAATAACTTCTTTTTCTAATCAATAGTGCGAGTGAAATTTTATAAATAAAACTACAGACCTGTATTTGTGCAAACATACTGAATAGGATATAACTGTACCTTGCATTATCATTAACTTGTCATATCTTTACATTAATAGCATCATATGAATTAATGCTATTGGACAGGATTGCATAAAATATTACTTGTACGCTTGACCTTTCTCAATAATATTTGATAATAATCATTACATTCAAATGGGGCTTTACATTTAACTGCATAGTTGGCTACTCATGGTAACACTGGACTGACGACAGCTAACGCTAAATTAAGCTCAGTGCTGTACCGTTAGCGTTAGCCTCATATACTGTTTGAGCTGTGCTGCAGCTCTGAATATTAGACAGCACCATGTTTGTTCTTTGACAAAACCATTGTTGGCCAAGTGTAAATAATGCAATAATACAGATGCCAAGAGCATATTAACCAGACAACATCCAAGATTTTTTTTTTTTTGCTGTTGTTGTTTCACCAACTCACACAAGTAACTGCAATTAGCTGCAGCTGAGTAAACCCACCGGTGACAGTTGGCATTATAGTCGGTGAAATCAACAGTTTTCTGGCTCACACTTTCACTTGTTAAAGCTTGTTAAGACACTTTTGATTACTTAAGTTATAATTAAAATTGCGGTGGTGGTTAGGTGTTTCTAATATTTTCTTCCCCTTTGTATGTGAGAGGTTTGGACTTATACTGAAAAAAAGTTTTTTTTTTTTTTTTTTCCAACTGCATCAGTGCTGATTTAAGCCACAGAAATCAGTCGGCCTGTTACTATGTGCTTCACGTACTATAATGTGGGAATGTGGGCTGATGAGATGTGCTACCACTGACCGACCTCCTCCTGGTCATCTGTTACTGATTGAGACTCGCCTCTGTTCTTTGTCTGTGTGTGTGTGTGTGTGTGTGTGTGTAGCAGTGCCCTAGGAAGATGTGAGCACAGCAGGCATGGCGCTAACTCATGCAGCTCCTCCTTAAAAGTCAGTCACCCTCTGAAGCTCACATGTGATCTGCTCAGCCCCCTGTCCGTGTGGACAAGGACTGATCATGAGAGAAGACAGCACATACTGGGCTCCTCCAGGCAGACCCACTGCCAGCCGACCTACGCACCCCAGTGCTGAATCAGGAGGTAAACCCCACCATGTTAGTTGCTTCCACACAAAAGACACAA